CGATCGCGCCTCGGTACCGCCGGTACCTTTCCCATTCGACCAGCTCCCCCCCCCCCCCCCNCCCCCCCCCCCTCGAGCCGTTTCACGGCGTCTTGTACTCATCGACTGCGCGCGCTTTTTCGCTTTAAAAACAAAAAGATTATCGTCGGACCGTTAACACGGTTACGCATTATCTAGATTGCTACTCGTCGGCTTCCGCCGGCCGAGAAACAGCATGAGTAATTAATCAAAGACAATCAAACTCTGGGAGCGTCGGCTTAAGCCGACTCCCAACAGACGGCCCCGCTATCCGTCATCTCTCCTCCCCGGTTGAAACCCGGGAAAAGAAAACGGTGATGTGGCGGTGCGCCGCGTTTGCAACCGCCGTGATACCTCCACCCGGATGTGAATTATACGAAAAGCTCGCGCGACGCCGCGAACTTTCTCTCTCTCTCTCTCTCTCTCTTTCTTTCTCCGCCCTACTCTCTTTCTCTCCGTGACGCGCGAGAGCACATGGAGGCTTCGCGGGGGCACTTTTCAACGGCTGAAATTAAACGCGACCACCTGTGTTAATTCGCCGCGGCAGACGAGCGAACGCTCGCTCGCTCGTCGCTCCGCGACATTGTGCGCCGCTTAATTCTAGGCTCGTTCCAGCCGCGCGGATTGTTTAATTATTCGCCGTCGCGGACAAATAAAGTCCTCTATTCTTTCTCTGCGTCTTCCTCCTCTCACTTTCTCTCTCTCTCTCTCTCTCTTCCCCCGCGGCCTCGTCATCGCGCGGCAATTTCGTTAACGCAATTAAAGCGTCGTAAAGCTCGTCGCATCAGTTGCGTCGCGACTGTGGAACTTCTTCCTTTGTTTAGCTCTAACGGTCCGCGCGCGCTATAATGTGTCTTCAAAAGGAAAGGAGCGAGAACTAATTGCTGATACTTGAATCGCTTTCTCGACCGTGCCGCGCGCGCTGATAAATTGAAACGAACCGTTTTCCCAACGGTAAAATGATAACGCGCCTTTAACGCGCCGAGAGTTTCGCGATGATTCCGCGGGCGCGCGAGAAGCAACGAGGTTCCCCCGCCGGGCCGGGCGTATTTCTTCCCCGGGTGATAATTTCAAACGGAGACCGGAAAGACCCTACACTGATGGGAGATCACAGTTACTTCCGGTGCCAACTATATTTTATAGTAGTAGCAACCATTATGCAAGGTTATTATCGTTGATATAGCAACATTTCTTCGAAAAGTCGACTAATTATTTTTACGGCTAGAACGAAAAAGTGTTTATTCAAGAAGATTGCATTCAGAATTTGCCTTTCTCGGCGGTATCCAGGCTCAACGAAGGGAGGCCTATTTTGGGACACGCTCGGATTAATTTATACCCGGGATACGTCCTCGGTGACAGATCGGCGATCCGAGTTTTTCCCGTCGGACTTTGTTGCGTCAGGCTCGCGAAATGCGCTGTCCGACACGATCGGGCTCGACACCGGTCGCGCGCACAAACACAAGACTCGTGTCGACTCGTTGCGTATATGGCGTTCACACACGATCGGAATTTTCCGATAGCCACGGCGGCGGCGGCGAGTTATGAACGCGGACGCGAGCGGCTGTTGGAAGCTCAAGGAAAAGGCCAGGCGACCGATGGGGGCCTACGTGAACGATCCTTAATATCCGTTCGCGTTCTATCGCCGCGGGAGATCACCGTCGGCGGAGTTTACTGGAAAACAATAGAATGTCGATGGCGGCCGAGGGATGTAGCATCGACCACCGCCGACTCGCTCCGCACGTCCGAGAGAACCGCCGCCGCCGCCGCCGTCGTCGTCGTCTCCGCGGGGAATGTCACGTGCCGCGGGGCGGACGCTGAACGAGATGCCGCGGGAGAAGCCTCGGTTTTTACGCACGACGACGTAGAGCGGGTTCCGCCACGGGGCTCTTCAACCCGGAAGAGGGAAAGAGAGAATTTTCGAAATTTCGCCTCTACGTTAAACCTTTAACCCTTTAAATGCATGGGAAAAAAAAGATTGGGTATTTGTAACTATAATTATCATAGTGAAAGAATTATAGTGAGGAGAACGATTGTTCTAGTAAGTGTAACTACATAGTAAAGAATTTTGTGTTATATTTAACACGTTTCATATGTTCCAAACGGTACACTCACATTTTCCTGCTGACTGAAGTCTCAAAATTATTATTTCACCGTTAAAACACGTATGTTTCAGTTTATTATTATTTATAAATAAGAAATAATAAATCTTGTTTGTATATATAAAATACGAATAAATTAAAATATGAGTCAGATTCCCGTTTTCGCTGTTTTGCCGCAAAAGTAGGTAGTTCAGAGATAGCATCGAAGTGAAATCAGCAAAATTCAAGAAGATTCAAGAGACAGAATTAATAAGTGTCAACCCCGCGAAAGTAGATTTTTCGTAGTTTACACGGAAAAAAAGAAAAAAAGATCGGTTAAATCGATATGACGATGAACGATCTGAACGCGTCTTGATCGAAGAAAACAAATTCTCTCGTTATTCCAAACCAAATTCAGCCTCAAGTACGAGAAATCCCATTTCCGTCCATCGGCTCGCCTTTCATTCGTTTATTGTCAAATGAATTCAACCAGTTTTTTTCTCCGAAAAAACGAGCCGTCTGAGAGTAGACGCGAACTATCCTCACGAAATCCTCAAAATAGCACGGAAACCTCTATTTGGGATGCAGGTGTCGCGGAATATTCCCGATCTCGTCTCTACGTTCCCCTTCGCACACAAGCCGCGACATTTTTTGTCTACGAGCAGCCTGGACGTTCCCAACGTCGATTACCAACAGTATAGTCCGAGTGGAGTATCGGAGCCACTTGAATTGCACATCGACACCGCGCGCCGTGGTTTCAATAAGCCCCGGGAAAAAAGAAAAGGAAAAAAAAAAAAGAAAAATCGCACTCGCGTTTACATAATGCCCGAACGCGCGGAACTTCGCGAAACTTTAAAACGCGGCTCGCGGACATTTGTCAGTTTATTTTCCTTATGGGACGTGTACGTACAACCGGCCATTAGGCGCGAAAGGATTAACGCGCAACCGGGGCCGCTTTCCAGCGGCGTAAATCACGAAATACGGGAAGGCGATTTCGCGCTCGCTCGCTCTCGTCGCTATCGTCGGGAAGGCGAATCGGGCAACGCGCGATACTGCGACGAGACCTGCGCGTCGGCCCGTCGGCGTGCGATAAAAGTATTCCCGGGCTACTGGTATACACGAGCACCACGACGACGACGACGACGACGAGGCCCGCCGCAGGCGAGGACTACGGGTTGCGACCCCAATCGCATTCGGATTCTACTTTGCGCAGGTGTGCGTGATCATTAATCCAGAAATGGAAGTGAACGTTCAGCACCGAACACGCTAGTCGCGGCGCCGCGTTTCTTTCCCGCTCGCCGTCGTCATTTTCGCCGACTGCCTTTTTTCTCCCTCTCTCTCTCTCTCTCTCTCTCTCTCTCTCTCTCTCTCTCTCTCTCTCTCTTTCTAGGTGGATAAAAAAGAGGCGTGGCGCGCACGCTAGTTGTGCGAGCGATTTCGCGGTTTAAACTATTAAGCGCGCGAGCGCTAAAGCGACTTTTTGCCAACGGTTCTCGCCGCTTTATCCAGGCGATTACGGCGTTTTAAGATTATTTCAGGTGGCTCTCCTTTGCTCGTTCCCACCTATCTCGTGCTGCAGCTCTGCCCTGCGGGCTCTCGCAGCCGCCAGCGAGATCGAGGAGTCTCTCTTTCTCTCTCTCTCTCTCTCTTCGCTCTTTCCGTGCCGCGTTTTTATTTCAATCGCGGAATCGTCGGTGAACGCATCGACCTTGAAACCTCAAGGTAGATCGAGGATCTTTCTGCGCGCTTCGGATTCTCATTTCGTATCATTACGACGACGTGCAAATCAGGATGTGGTTCCTCGCAAAAGTTCACGGCCGAGCGTCCTCTTTCCCCCTGCGGGGCATCTCACGAATACCGAGTATTTTCCTTCAGTTTTCGGACACTTGGCTCTTTGTCCTTATTTCTTTTGTGACCAATGAAGCTATTGTTATTATTATTTAATAATATTATTCGTTAAACTCGACATCATCGAGAACAGTTAGATAAAAGTGATCACGGATACTTTTGCCAGTTATTTCAGTAAGTAATTCCAGTAGTTTTATTTTATTTTTTTAATTTTCTATCACTAATATGTCGGTTTTGATAGCCCAGTTTCTAGAAGTGTCGATCCTCGGACATTTTGAGAAACAGTTATTTGCAAGGAAACGTATAATAATTTCCATACATCCGTCATACCTCTTGATAGAGAAGTGTTTCTGGCTTGCATCCGTGCGTAAAAATTTTGATTCTTCACTTTCCCGTTTAATTTAATTCCATATATATTTAATAACACTCGTGGAATATCCGAAATCTCGAGCAGATTGTGCAACATCAAAACGCCGAAACTTCAAAGGAAAGACGCGTCTCGCGAGCGCACAAATGCGTTCGCGACAAATTCGTAATTTATTCACCGGCACCGGCGAGACGAAGAGAGAGAGAGAGAGAGAGAGAGAGAGAGAGAGAGAGAGAGAGAGGAAAAAAGATTCAACGATTCAACGCTCGTACGCGCGTACGTGTGTATATGTAAACACACACACATACGCGCGCGCACGCGCGGCGCGCATCGGTTTTCCATATAATGGTCGTTCGAACGGACGGTGGGCTCGTCCGCGCGCGGTATGCAGAAAAAATCCCACATAATTAACCCATAAAGCAACGCAATCGCCGGAGATCTCTCTCTCTCTCTCTCTCTCTTTCTCTCTCTCTATGGTTTATCCATAAGCGAGCGTCGAGGCCGCGACGTTTTCTGCGCGTGCTGCGTGTTGCCTGCACCTGTGTGCGCTGGCGCGCCGCACCTGTGCGCGGCCGCCGATGTAAAGGCGGAATTACGCGGCTCGTTTTCAACGTGTGTCAGGCGCAAGAGTGAAGCGCACACAGCTCGTCTAAAAATCTTGACCGCTGGAAAAGCCACCAATGTAGATCTTATAATCCAAATGTGGTTCTTATAACCAGGAATTCTGTTTCCTTCAACCAAAACGGCATCTGATTGCTCCCTTTCTGATTAATATAACCAGATTTTCTCCATGTAATAATATCTACGATACATGTGGATATATCGTGCATATTTCAACATTTATGTATCACATTCTATTATATACACAGCTCTATTTGCTCAAACTGACGTATAAATAAAGCATTAATGAGAAAAGTCAAAAATAAACAATATTTCTGTGTTTGCAATATTGCGTGTATATTTCTCTTAATTTCACTCGAAATTAATATTTATTATTTAGATAAATGAATAAAATGATAGAAGAGTATTTTTTTTCAGTATATAATAAATATAGATAGAAACACCTTAATATTATTATTGCAAATCCGGCACTTCACGATGCAATTTTATAAGCGGTGTGTAAATGTGCGTGCGTATACACGCCGCGCGGCCGTCGAGGCGACATACGATAGGCAGTTTCTCGTTTGCGTGCAGTTCATAATGTAGAATTCCGCTGCCTCTGTGGAATCTCAAACGCGTCCTTCAACCGCCTTCGGCTAGGCGTACGTTTTCGCGTTTGGAGATTAATCGCGCGGACGTTAATCGGAAGAAATTCGAATTCGCTCCCGTCGACATTAGTCAGGAGAGAGAGATTACAAATTACTCGGCTGGACACTAATCAGGAAGAGAGAAACGAATTACTCGGATGCGGATAAATCGCATTTTCTGTATTGCGCCACGTAATCGAGCGCGCGCCCCGTTAATAGCCGAGTCGAAATTTCGATTCTTCGTTAACTCAGCGAATCGCTCAGGAATTTTTTGGAGGGATCAGTGGAGACGCCGTTACGAAATGGCACTGCTCTTCACGCTAGAAATGATACCTCACTATGCTATTTTCTCCAGACTTACAGAAATCAGTCAAGGGAATTTCGTAACGAATCTTCTCGAATGGCTGCAGATCTTTCCGTCCTAAGCATTTTCAACAATTCGATATTTTCGCAGTTTCTCAATGTTCGACCGGTTCACACAGAGCCGACTTCCAATCTCCCGAAAGAATTTCAGTCAACGTTCGATAACACACTTCATGAATCATCGTTGACACCCGCACGGCGGTCGCGGCGCACTCGCGAACGGCGGCGAAATTCGAGCTATCCGACAAGCTCGAGTCGCCGCGAACGAGTGGAAATTCGCGCGTTTTTCGCATCCGCGGCCGGTATCGTGCTGGGATTAAAAATCCGATTTGAATTCCGGCCGTGTATAAATTTCGCAAGGGATTCCACTCACCGGTAGATACGCAGAGCGACGACGGCGGCAGCGGCGGTGGCGGCGGCGGCGGCGGCGTGGGCGTCGTCGATGGCGACGGCACTCTTCTCGCGGCGGCTGTAATTATTGCCGCTGGACTGTACCGAGGCACCTGCAACACCACGGGAGTTTTCACGGACAGGTCCACTGGCTCCAGCTGCACCGGCGGTCCCGCCGCCTGCAACAAAACGAAACGTACAGGTCAGCCGCGAGGTAGCCGTAAGTAGCCGCCATATCGTCAGCACCGTCGGCGGAGCGTATCGGCTTTTCGGCTGTCTCTCTCTCTCTATGTGAAAGTTTACGGGCGCAAAAAGAGAAGCGTGTCGACTCGAAGATACGGCGGGGGGAGGGGAGAGGGGCCGAGCGGAATTAATCAACGCTTAACTCGGTGTTTTTTTACGCACACCACGGGAGGAAGAAGTAGCCGCCGCGGCTAAAAACTAGCTCCCGCAGGTGAAAATTGGCTGTGACACGACTGAAATTTAGTTTAATTCGGCTAATTCTTTTTGCCCCGAGTTTTTAGCTCCCTCAGGTTAAAAACCAGGTGTGGTAACTGAATTTCATTTGTATTGCATGGACAGCCGATTCCTTTCTCCCGGGTGCAACGATGCCAGCGACATGACGTAATCGCTTGAATTGGATTTCCGCGATAATAAATCGAAAATGCAGAATGTTTTGCGGTAATTTCGAATTGAAAAAGAATGTCCACCTATTGCGACAGAATTATTATGATTAACGTGAGATGCGCATTTCAGCGTGATTGTGTACTTAGGATCCTCCACGAGGATCTTACAAGATCTCTGGCTCGATGAAGCGACTCGCATTCGCGTAGGCACTCTGGTCTCTCTGTCTCTTTCCCCCCCTCTCTTTCTCTCTCTCTTCGCCTCTCGGCAAAATCGAGGGAAAAAAATGACGAGGCAATCTCGAGGCTTGATTATTAAACCGTTCCGAGTTAATTCACGTGTATTTCGCGGCATTGTGCGACGTTGGCGTAAATGAATATTAGTATGATACGCCGTTACAACGTGGTGATTTCGCACTGCTTCGCCCAGCTGCGGGACTCGATTTAACGAGAAGACTTAGAAGCGACGCGAGTGTAATTTCGCCCACGCGCGGAGCGTATCGCGAACGATTGTCGTAGCGTCGAGATCGTCGTCGATTTTTCTCCCCTCTTTCTCGAAAGCTCGATGATGATGATATCGACGGTCGAAATCGACGGAGGTTTCCAGTCCGGCCCGGTACGTGACTTATTCACGGCGGCGGTTTCAATAGTCCGCGCTGATAGCAGGCCAAAGTGCTTAAGCGCAATTAGCATAACTAGCGTCGGCAGTGACGTGGACTAATCACGGGAGCGGTTCCCACGGGAGATTCGACCGGCCTGTCGCTCGTGTAGCCCGGCGCTATCTAATTTCCCCGCGACACACCTCCGATCGTGTCTAATGACCGGCGGAATTAATAGTCAATCACCGCCGAGGTAGCGATTCTCATAGCCCGTAATCCGATCAAACGACGAACGAGCGAATCGGCCGGCCGTTACGCCGAAGGCGGCGACACGGCCGCTTACAGAAGCTGTCGGGGCGAAGAAGACACGCAACGGTTACGCAAGTAACGAGGAAACATGCCGCTCAACCCACCGAGACGTGTTAATTCGCAATCAGTGGACATTGTGATATTTGACATGCAGGGTGTTGCGCACCGTTGCGAACTGAAGGATCTTCCGAACGTAAATTGAGACGGGAAGTGTCCTGCAAACACGAGTCCAATTAGAAACGGTTATCCACGTACGTTATTCGTCCGCAAATATTTCAAGTTTATAAATGATGGCACACTTTTTCGTGCAACGCAATCATTAAAACTCGCTCATCGCGGAGCCTCGAATCCGGCCCAACTCACTGGAAACAAGTATCGGGCAATGCGTTCCCATAGAACTGCGGGCAGTAACTAAATATTCCCGGACGGCGGAACGTACAATGCGCGACGGGGGAGGGGGGATGACTCCTAACTGTATTAAAGGGGGGATCATTTAGTAGCGGCCGTGATCGATCGCGCGGTCGTGTCGATATCGGATTTCCGAAACAATCGTGCGGAAGATCAGATTCACAGCGGCGGCAGCGATTGTTTCCCGGACGGCCTCTTGACTTGAAACGTGGGAATGCTCGTGCACACGTCGACAATGAAAAGCTCGCCTCTGTCCGCGCCGCACACAGCCGTCATAGGACGAAACAAATGGTTCGGTGTCGTGAAACACGATACAACGCTAATAGCGCAACGTTCGGCCGGCGTTACACCGCCGGTGAGTGTAACTGTAACGTCGCGGCGCTATTAACAAATTACACGTAACACATCCGCGCTCGCTCGCGTGCTGCCTGCGCGATAATTTATAACGGATTTCGCCGGTGCTTTTAGCGGCGCCATTCGAGCCACCGTAAAATTGCGCAACTTGTTGTCCGTCGCGCGAGCGAATGAACGCGCGCTTTCAATTTCGTCGTTGTAAAAACGCGAGGCGGCTTCTCTTCCGTCGTAATTCCATTCGTCTCCGTCTTTCGCCGGAAGATCATGAGTTTGTTCGGGAAAATCGAGGGGCACAGATTCGACGGTTTAAATCGCTTACTTTGTCGAGGAGTCGTGAAAACCTCTACGTGCACGACTTTGCGTCGCGCGCGCTTACGGATGCCTCGTCGTTTTGTGCCTGCGGAAACGGTGTTTCCGAAATTAACATTTGATGCCGCGTCCCGAACGGCGAAGTGAAATACGTCAAGGCGGCGCAACGAGTCACCGCTTGTGACAAACGCCGAAATCGCGGACCCGGCGCACTCGGCAGGCGAGACACGCCCATGGCGAAGTTCTGCTTTCTGGAAAGCGTGCTACGTGCGCTTGTTATTCATGAGCCACGAGATGAGCGACGACGACGAGCGTATTTTTGCGAGGGCCCGATAAAAAGCGCGACGCGCGTTATGCGCGTCACGCAGGTGGAGGCGAGCACCGACGGCCTCGGCTTTACGACTTGGCGATTCTAATTAAATCTAATATACACACGCGGCAATAATCCGTCGTAAACGGCGACGCGCGTCCGCGTCGGGCGATAAATAATTATAAACTAATAAAATTTAACGAGAGAGAACGCGTCTCCTCCTCCTCGAGGGGACGACGAGCCGGGTGAGTCGCCGGATGCACCTCGTGCTCGAAAAAGGGCGAAACGGCTTCCTCCCCGGGTAGATGAAATCAAACGACGCATTAAATCGTCGATGACTAATGAAAGACCGGGTAAATTGTTCCTAATGATTCCGGCCCGAGCGGATCGCGGGAGCTGCGCGTGTATACACGGGGCGTATGTATTTACGTACATATGTACGTATATGTGTGCCTGTGCTATATATATATATATATATATATATATCCTCTATATATCTAAATAAAATAAATCGATGCGCACACAAGAGCGTAATACAGACGGTTGCGCTCTCGTAGCTACGTATTACGTGTTCTCACAGTAGCGGCCCGTAATGAGAATGGAGCATTCATCAATCATTCGTTAGGCAATCCCCGGCCGGACGCCGGAGTCCCGGCGGAATTAATTTAATTACTACAAATGTTTCGGAGGGCTAAAAATGTGTGTGGCGAATCGATACACCGCCTAGCGTCGGCGGCGACGCGTTACGCCTTCGGCCGCGGCCAGCAGCGCGACGATCATTTATGCAAGGCGTTTCGGATCGATGCGCTTCTGCAGCCTTTCCCGACTGCGAGTGTAAAAATGGAAGAGAAAAGGAGAGAGAGAGAGAGAGAGAAGATGGGGGAAAAGAGCCGGTGGAACGGTATTACACGTCTTAATTGCTCGCGAGGCGATTCGTTTGACTCGAAGGTGCTCGAAGAAACGCCGGTGGTATAACATTTAATGTTCAGCGATCGCGATACTCTCAGGGGAGGAACGAAAGGAAGAGAGAGAGGTCGCGCGATCCGTATCGCGGGAACGATTTGTACAACACACAAGAGCGGAGCTCGATGTTGCGCGGAAAAGAATGCGTGAAAAACGGCGCACGCAACTTCAACACTTTATATAACTAATCGATGCCGCGGGACTATTGCTCTCTCGAATCGCCGCCGACGTCGCCAACTTCGCGTCCTCTCTCGATCAATTAATCAACGTCCCTCGCGCGTTAGCTCCGCGCGCGCGTTTTCTTTCCCGCGCGCTTTTCTTCCTTTTCTTATCAATTTTACTCTTCAACGGACACGTCCGCGCGCGGCTTTCATTTTTTCACGCGCCTCCTGTCGGACGCGTGTCTCTCGGCGGATTGCCGCCGACGTTAATCTCTTTCCGGTGCATACGCGACAGCTCTCTCTCTCTCTCTCTCTCTCGCTCGCTCGCTCTCTTGCCCTATTAGATCCGAGTAATAAATTCTTAGCGGACAGCGACGTTAATTACGTCGTTTCTGTAACACGTAACAGCCGAGACACGGTTTATACACGGGGAGTATGACGTTACGAAAGGATTATTCTAAATGTTAGCGTTTTCCTGCCCGAAGCAGGCGCGAAGAGGCGACGGGCGCCGCGCGAATATCTCTCTCTCTCTCTCTCTCTCTCTCTCTCACTGGCGGGCAACAGCAGCCCTTCCCCGCGATCGCGCGCGGCCAGCTCTAGCCGGCTAGCGTGTGTGTACGCACACCTCGCGGCCCCTCTCTGTCTTTGAAATTATCGGCGAGATCTACCGTGGCCGAAGTAACTGCGGAGTTATTACGCGAGATAGGCCCATTACATATTATACACGGTTTTCTTTTTATTGCCGCGATCGGCGCGCAAGAGGCGCGGCGCGAGGATCGGGTTAAGCGCCGATGTAGACATTACCGGGAGATAGGGTGTTTATAGAGCAATTTTTGAGTTAGTTGATTAGCCGGCGGGACTNAGAGAGGGGGGGGGGGGGAGAGTCAGAGAGGAGAGAAAGAGAGACCCACGTCGTATCGAGCGTGTCGCTACGGCACCGCCGACGACAACGTTTTTGCTCGTTTCGTTCGGACGCGGGGCGGCTGTGGCCGCGCGTGAGACGCGCGCAGCCCCGCCGCGAGAAACGACAATTAAATTGTTATGCTCTCGTACGCGCTCGTATAGGAACCAAGAGAGAAAAAACCGCGCTCGCGGTTTTGCAAGCTCCGTTAAAGCGCGCGAGTGCAACTCTCACGGGCGATT